GAGGTTGGAACCAGATGATCCTCATGGTCCCTTCCAAACCAAGCCATTCTATGATTCTAGTTCTACTGATCATGCCAGATTTGTCCCTGGTGCATGCTTTTTTTCCCTTTGTATCAATGGCAAAAGCCATGTCAGAAGCTGCATGATGGTGACCATGGAGATGTGTATTGCAGCAGGTGAAGGCTCAGTAAATCTGGCACTTAATGCCATGACATTATAGGTTGGGAGTCAAGTCAGTTGTATCAGAAAGTCTGAAGAAATTAGGGATTCTTCATCATGCAGACTATTTGTAAAGATAGGGAGCTTTCCTGAGAGATTTTTTTGAATAAAATATTTAAATGTTTGTCTCAACTGGAGGTATTTAAAAATAACCTCAGGCTTCCAACTGTGGTGTGCTGTGGGAGTTTAGCATGGTGTTTTGTTGTTGTTGTTTTTTTGTTGTTGGGTTTAGGTTTTGTGATTTTTATTATTTCTGAAAGATTGGACTATTGCTTATTTTTCTGATTTTTCTGTTGCGCATAGTGGAACACTGAAGGTCAAATATAACATTGCTAAAGATCTCTTACAAGGGGCAGATGACAAGTCTGTAGAGCTCTGGGGACCAAGAGGAGAAAGTGAGAATTTGCTCTTGGATCAGGTAAACCAGTGTCATTCCACAGAAGCCTGTGCAGCCTCCTAACCCCTGAGTACGTGCTCCACTCAATCCATATTGAGCTTGCTCAAGCTATGAGTCACGGTGAGCGATGCCAGTGCGTGGCATGCCTCTGAGCTCACACCCTCTGCCTCTTGCCTTCAGCCAAGCTGTGGTGGCTACCCCTTGAGCATCTTCTTCATCGTCATCAATGAGTTCTGCGAGCGGTTCTCCTACTATGGCATGCGAGGTATGTCCCATGTCCTGCGTCTCCTTGTGCTGACCATTACTTACCCAGCCCTGACTTTGGTTTGTAACCTGTTGCTTTGTTCTTCTTCCTACAGCGGTGCTCGTTTTGTATTTCAAATATTTCCTGCGGTGGGATGAAAACTTTTCTACAGCCATCTACCACGCATTTGTTGCTCTGTGCTACTTCACACCAATCCTTGGAGCGCTCATTGCGGACTCCTGGCTGGGAAAGTTTATGTGAGTGCTGCCTCAGGAAAAAAAGAAAAATCATGAAAGCTCATCTGAGATTACTGTTACTTAAACCATAACCTAAAGCAGCAATTTGAAACAACGGCTTCAGAGCTGGTGTTGGCTACTGCAGGGTTGTCTGCGTGTTGTGGTTTGGTTGTGGGATTTTTGTCTCTCCAAAGCTTTTAATTGATTTGGCTTTTGAGTTAACAAATGTTACAGTTCTACAACTAATCAGTTAAGGGTGGTAGCTTACTTTTCAGGCATGATGCATGTTTTTTTTTTTTCTCTCATCAGTAAGAAATATAAGCTAAACTCAGGAAAATATTCACCAAACTTGAAAATAGATAGTGGAGGCTATAATTACATTGGACTGCCTCTTTACCCATTGCAGGTGGCCAGAGAAGTACTGTGTTATCTGGTATTAACTAGGACTTAAAGTATATTCTAAATTAATTTGTGTATTTCACATTTTACTTGGTAGCGACTCTTGCTTTAAATGATGAATTCTGGGGCTTTACTTGTGTGCTAGCTGCCTAGAAAAGTACTGCTGAACGACGTGCTTTGATAAGTAACCAAATTACTTCCAAAAGCCTGATCCCGCTGTCCTTTTCTGATGTCACGATTCTAATAGTGTTTACTTTGTCTGAAAAAGAAGCACAATAAAGATTTTTATGGAGGGATATGAGTCAGGAATGTTAACTGACTTGCCAAACATCTCCCAGAGATTAGAGATGAAGATGGTTGTGCAGCTGATTGGCTGAAGGCTGCACCATCTTCTGTGCTGACAGCATCTGGGAGCCCAGGGCTCCAACCACCATCAAGTGTGTTCTGTGAAAGTGGTCTGATCAGTGGGAACTCATTGCAAGCAGCTGGATAGCTTGCACACTGAAGCCTAAATACATCATGTACTCACTTGTTTAGATGGTATGATTTTTACTTTTTTAAAAATTTATTTTGGCTTTTAATTGTTTTATCAAGATGAAGTTTTGCAGATCCTGCACCTGTTCTCTGCTGGTACTTGTGTATACCAGTGCCACAGCTGCAAGCCCAGACCCTTAATAACAGCTCAGTAGGATGATTCAGGGCATAAAACTGGAGCTCTAAGCTTGATAAGAAGAAATATGCTGTTGGAAAAAAACATCTGTTTAATGTATAGATGTCCTACAATACAGCAAGGTGCAATGAGGAAGGATTAAACAATAATTCATTAAAAAATCTATTATAAGAGGAAGAGGAGGTTACTCAAACACTGTTAAGCACTCCTATGGGAGAAACTCAGAGCATAGAATGGTTTGGGCACCTTAAAGATCATCTAGTTCCAGCTCCTCGCTGCCATGGGCAGGGACACCTCCCACTAGATCAGGTTGCTCCAAGCCCCATCCAGCCCGGTCTTGGACACTTCCAGAGAGGGGACTCCCACAGCTTCTCTGGGCAACTTGTTCCAGTGTCTCACCGCCCTCACAGTAAAAAATTTCTTCCTGAGGTTTAATCTAAATCTACCCTCTTTCAGTTTGAAACCATTACCCTTCACCCTATCACTATACTCCCTGGCAAAGAGTCCCTCCCCAGCTTTCCTGTAGGCCGCCTTTAAGTGCTGGAAGGCTGCTACAAGGTCTGGTGGTCTTATATGATTACTTGGAGGCATCTCCTGTCAGACAAAAGTCAGGCTGAAAGCTTGCTCTTCCGTGCTGCTTTCACTCTGCTCTAGGCTTAGAAATGTTGCTACACTCACCACTGGGAGAGTGGTGTAATACAGTTGTTCACAACAGTATTTGTTGGTAATTTCCATGTTTCCAGTAGATTTAATTTTTTTAAAAATTGTTTTACTTCTTGCAGCTAAAATATAAAAGAACATAAAGGATGCTGAGAGGCATCCCTGCCCATGACAGGGAGGTTGGATTAAATGTTCTCTAAGGTCCCTTCCAGCCTAGGCCATTCTATGGTTCTGTGATAAAGGATGTTTAATCAATATTAAAATCAGTGTAAGCCACATCCTTCGTTGTTGTAGTCTATATGAACTTCATATATGAAATATGATAATGGCCTTGGTTAGTAAAAAGGCAACCACTGAAGCAATAATGGGTTTAAGTTAGAACATGAGGAAAAATTTCTTTACTGTGAGGCTGACAGAGCCCTGGCACAGGCTGCCCAGGGAGGTTGTGGAGTCTCCTTCTCTGGAGACATTCAAAACCCACCTGGATGTGTTCCTGTGTGGCTGCCCTAGGGGATCCTGCTCTGGCAGGGGGCTTGGGCTAGGTGACCTTCTGAGGTCCCTTCCAATCCTTAACAATTCTATGATCTCCTGTGACCTAGTGATATCTGCAGAATCTATTTGTCATCTTCCCTTCCTTAATTAAACAAGGCTAGCTAAAATAATAATAATAAAAACAGAATAGAAATACTGTGACACAGGTATGTGGACAGACCTTTGCAGTAGCTTGTAGTAAGTTGAGACCATAACTCGTTGTATCTGCTAATTATGCTTCTTTACTGAGCATCTTTGAAATGAGCAAAAGTCTGCTTTATCTGTGTGTGAATGTATTCAAGCAATTTATCTCCTCTCTTCATAACAGGACCATTGCCTCCCTGTCCGTTGTCTATACGATCGGGCAGGCAGTCATGGCTGTGAGCTCCATAAATGATCTGACAGATCACAACCGGGATGGTTCTCCTGATTCTTTCCAGTTACACATGTGAGTTGCCTTGTACCTGTTTTCTTTCCAGGCGAGTGAAGGGTGGAACAACTTACACCTTAAATTTATGGTACTTGAATTTCAGCTGTTTTGCAATCAGTCTCTGATGTACAGTGTAAGTAAGAAAAGTGATTTTTATTTTTTTTTTGCCTCCTTTTTTCTTCTTTGGTCCAGTGGTCTGTCCATGCTTGGCTTGGTCCTCATTGCACTTGGTACTGGTGGAATCAAACCCTGTGTGTCTTCATTTGGTGGAGATCAGTTTGAAGAGCATCAGGTAACAATGCCTTTCAGATTTTCAATTGTACTGATACTCTTACTAATGTCTGACTGTTTTAATACTCTAATAATATATGTATTTAGACATCAGCATTACTGTAGTGTTTCGCAAGTAGCTGAGAAGGATCAGTGTGGTTCTGGCTAAGCCTTTCAAAACATTTTTTTGTTTTTATTGTAGGAAAAACAAAGAACTGCATTTTTCTCTATCTTTTACATATCCATTAATGCTGGAAGTCTCATATCCACAATCATCACCCCAATTCTCAGAGGTAAGGCCACACTTTTGTTTATAAAATAGTTAAAGATCAGTAAAGAGTGAGTGTTGGATTACAGTCCAATTAAGTTCAAATGAATAGTCTGATCTTTGACACCTTGTGGAGTCATTTGGCAAGTCTTCAAGTTTTTCATATATGTCAGCCAACTTCTCACAGGTGAGCTACTGTCAAAAACAAGCCAGTCTGAGATCTGAATTGCCTTTAGAGTCGCAAGTACTAGATCTGAAGAGACATGCTGAGGCCATCAATGTTTGTTAATGCATGTTTCAATTCCATTGAAGTACAAATGTGACACCTCTTCCAATGCCTTTAAAACCACACAAGAAAGAGTTGTACTGTTTGCTGGGAAGGGTTTGCTGCTCTGGAAGTGGAGACTATTCTGAAGTGCTCACATGCAAAGTACAGACACATCTATGCACTTGGGAACACATTTGTCCATGTGATAAAGTAAATTATTATTAAAAGAAAAAGGTTTTTTATTTCCTCTTCCACTTACAACTAATGGCAGGATCCTAAACAAAAAGCACCCTCACCATGAGGGTGGTGAGACACTGGCACAGGTTGCCCAGAGAGGTGGTGGAAGCCCCATCCCTGGAAGTTTTTAAGGCCAGGCTGGATGGGGCTCTGAGCAACCTGATCTAGTGGGAGATGTCCCTGCCCATGGCAGGGGGGTTGGAATTAGATGATCTTTAAGATCCCTTCCAACCCTGACAATTCTATGATTCTGTGATTCAAACTAATGACTGATCTCTATCCATATGAATTTCTGTGGGAAGCTTACACAGATGTTGCTGCATGGATATTCTTGGCAGGAGTTCGAGGGAGGCTGTCTTTCTTAACAAAAAAAACCAAACAAAACCAGAAAAAAAACCCAGCATGTGAGTTCTGGAATAACTCTAAAGCAATGGGCTGAAATTCTGGTCTTTGGATTTCCTGACTGAAACAAACTGTATGGAAGCATTTTAGATGTTTGCTTAATACAAATTCTTATTCCCAAAATGGAAGGAGAGATGTGTAATTCACAATGTGCAATTTACTTCCATGCTGATACAGGGTGAAAAGTACCTTGGCAAAACAGATATTCAGCTGAGGAAAATTACACTATTATGTCCTGTAAAGGTTTAACCAAAATACAACTAAATCAAGACATTAATCAGCTGCAAGCTAATATTTGTTGCAGGTTAAGCTCTCTATTTCTCCTGTCAAAATTAGAATGGTGAAAAAAGTAATAATTTAGTTTAATCTTTGACTTTTTCCTGTTAATAGCTATGTTCACACTCTGAGCAGCATTACAGGATATATGCCTGGAGTTTATGTAGTTAAATCACTCCTGCTGGGAGGTGTGCGTGGGGATGATGTTTGAGATGTGGTTTTTTTAACAAGCTCTGCTTATGTTACTTACATCTTTGTTTATGAACTTGTCCTAAACTTTTTGTAATCTAGTTCCTTTCTCAACAAAAATATGCATTTGACCATTCTAGTAGGATTCTTTGCTTCTCAGTGTAAAACTAAATGTGAATCTCCTGTGAGTAGAGGCTGAGAGAGCTGGGACTGTTCAACCTGGAGAAGAGAAGGCTCAGGGGGACCTCATCAACATACATAAAAACCTGCAGGGAGGGTGCAGAGAGGACAGAGCCAGGCTCTGCTCAGTGGTGCCCAGTGACAGGACCAGAGGCAACGGGCACAGACTGAAACACAGGAGGTTCCCTCTGAACATCAGGAAACACTTTGCCACTGTGAGGGTGATCGAGCACTGGCACACGTTGCCCAGAGGGATTTGGGATTCTCCCTCCTCAGAGATATTCAAAAGCCGTCTGGACGTGGTCCTGGGCAACGTGTTCCAGGTTAGACCAGATGACCCTCAAAGATCCCTTCCAACCTGAACCATTCTATAATTTTTGTGATACATGATTTCCCTTTTCGGTAATGAAAGATATGTTGGATACTGGACATCCACTCCGTTAATAACATGAGCAGAGATTGTTTTTTCTTTTTTTTCCCCTTCCTTGAATTAACAATGACTACAAAGAACAGAAACCCTAGGTAAAATATTGGCAGCCCTGACTGGGACTTACATGTAATGTTACTTTGTACTTCAGCTCAGATGTGTGGAATTCATACCACACAGCGATGTTACCCATTAGCTTTTGGAGTTCCTGCTGTCCTCATGGCTGTTTCCTTGAGTAAGTGCAACTGTTTTTGTTGTTTCTCTTCAGTTATAGACATGATTAGACGATAATAATCTGACAATAATAAGAAAGTGGTAGAAAACTCTGACCCCAATACCTGATCCTTTCTGCACTTTTTGACAAACTCTTCTTGGCTGGTGAGTGAGATTAACCTGAAGCACTCTCTTTTACAGAAGAGACTGATTTACCAGGAGAGACTGGTGGGGCTGGGGAGAGGCAGAAATACACCATTAAATTCCGTACATTATATAATTTAATGTCTATTATTTCTTGGGCTATTGGGGTGTATAAGTAAGATATGTTGAATGTAGTCTGATAACTCTGAAAAAACATGGCTTTTGGAAACTGTATGTAGTGCAGGACAGTGAACTTCTCAAGGTAATTGTCCCTGCATCAGGGACATGCCAAGCCACCATGATGGTGTGTCAGCATTTCTCAAACACCAGAACTTGTACTAGTTGTCCTATGAGCCACTCCCTGAGCCTTTCTGCTTCAGCAAAGAGATCAGAAAAACAAGGGATGTCAGTATGTACCACAGCATTCCTCATGGTTCTAGTCCTTCATGATCCTGACTGGGAGCCCACCCAGGGTGAGCTTCCAGCTGCCCGAAGACCCCATCTTGCCCGTGCACCCAACACAGGGTGGGCAGCGTCCCTATTTTGCCCACATCCTGCCCCACACGTGGGAGGGTGAGGCCAGGGAACGTGCCTGGGCGTGGGAAATGAGGACACTGAGTCCTGCAGATCAGGCAGAGCTTCGCGCATCCCTGCGTGACATAAGCTGCAGCATCCTGGACCTCTGAGAAGGAGCACGTAACGCTGCCTTAATCCAGCAGCAAGGCCAGAGCCAAGGTCCTTCGAAGTGGTCCTTGTTTTGAGCATCCCTCAGTTAAGCCAATGTGCCCCTGAGGGCTTAAAGAGTTTCCAGATTTAGTCCTTTGTCTTAAATAGGAGCAAACTGCTGGTATTAAATTGATTTCCCTTACTGTATGATAACATGACAATAGGCACTTCAATTGCTCAATAGGAGGCTTATTCCCACTATTACAGCTTCCATACCAAACTACTAATTTTTGATTAATCATGAGTTGCTTTTGGCCTCTGTGTATTGCAGTTGTGTTCGTGGCGGGAAGCACAATGTACAAGAAAGTCAAACCTCAAGGAAATATAATGATTCAAGTTTTCAGATGCATTGGAGTAAGTAGTATTTGAATTCCCAGAAATGCTGTCAGGAATTCTAAAACCTTTTCGGCAAACTTGCCTAGATCAGAAATCTGTAATAATATAAGGAAAGCTTCTGAAGTTTTTGGCTTTTTTTCCTTACAGATGGCTTCTTACTGACACCTTCTGACTTAGACTGCCTTTTTATTTATTTATTTATCTATCTCTTTGTTTATTTGTGAATTTATGCATAGAGGAAACAAAGTAAGATATCAGTAATGTGTTTAAAGCTTATCTCAACTTCTGGAAATCCTTCCTTCCTCATTTGTGCACCTTTATGCAGCCCTGTAGTGAAAGACAAACATGCCTTGACCTGAGTCAAGAGCAAAAATTGTAGTATATCTTATCAGCAAAAATGTTTCTTACAATGCAGAGGTCTATTGATCCCCACTGTATTAGGCAGATCAGGGCAGTTGCACGTCAGTGCAAGCCTGTAAGGAAGATAACTGAACCTTCATGAATAGTAGTGCATGTCCCAGCTTTGCAGTGCCTTAACTTTATGATCGGGGATTTTTTCATTTATGGGCTTCTTCGTTCTCTGTGCACATCTGTCAGCTTGTTATAGCCCAGACCATTGCTTGTCTCGTGAACACTGTCAAAACCGAATCTCTATAGGTGACTCTGGTCATTGCTTAGACTGCTGTCTCTGAGGTCCAGCAAGGCCTTGCCTGGCATTCCTTGCCAAAAATCTTAGGAGTTTGCAGGACTGCAATTGTGCATATTCAGCATCAAGGTATGAGGAATACCTACAAGATGCAGCTTCTCATTGTGAAATGCACTCTTACAGATATTCAGCTCAGCAAATCTGTGCATCTGCCATTCTCCTGTTTGTTGTTTTACATAACTAAAATCTGAAGTAGGCAGGTCTTCAGGTTCCCAACAGCAACCCACATTGAGAGGGAATGCTCTGAGCTGGTCCACCTAATCACAGGTGCACACTCCACTGGATATGCAGTGTGAGACAAAAAATTCCTTTAGATGCTTAGAGCAGTTAACAGAAGTCACCGTTAGCACCCTTTGAACACTAGAAGCAGGAGTGGCATCTTTAATGACAAAATAACTTATAGCATTTACAAACATTTGTAATGTCACTAAACAAAGTTCTGTCTCTCCTCAGTTTGCCATCAAAAACAAGATACGCCACCGCAGCAAAAGGTTCCCCAAGAGAGACCACTGGCTAGACTGGGCGAGTGAGAAGTATGATGTAAGTACTGCATGAACACTCCTGTGCCCTGATCCTCAGCTTCTGTCTGCTCTGATCCATTGCCACAGGCACTGGGCAAATGTTTTTGGGCATCTCAACCATTTAGTAGCTATTTGTCTGACCAAACCTTAGTGCTCCTCTGGGACTGCAGGTTATGAACCCAGCTGCTGTGAGAGAAAGAGGTCACAGAATCACAGAATGACCTTGATTGGAAAAGACCTTTAAAATCATAGCCATTAATCTAACACTGACAAGTCCTTGACTAAACCACATGCCTAAGCACTATGCCTACCTCACTCTTAAATACCTCCAGGGAAGGGGACTCCACCACTGCCCTGGGCAACCAATTCCTATGCCTGGTAACCCTTTCAGTAAGGAAATTCTTCCTAATACCCAGTCTAAGATGTGTGAGATGAGGCTCAGTGTGTTCCTTGGCTGTCCAGGGAAATTAAAGGGAGGTGAAGAAGAGACTATTTCCCATGTTGAACAAATACAAACACCTCTTAGTTTTTGAGTTAGTAAAATAGCAAGTGTTATCCTCGTCAACTTTTTGTTTCTCGTAGTAAACTGGCTTCAGACAAAAATGTTGGCTTAGTGACTGCAGAGGAGGAAAAATGGCATGATCTTGACTGTCATGGTTAATATGTAGGCCCATAACACTTGTCTTTGGATCAAACTGCAGAATTATGCTTAGGAATTCCAGCTTAATGGATAAACGCTGCATCCCTCAGCTCAGTACGAGCTCCCTTACCATGATTCTTAAAGCCTTGTGTCCCACAGTCCCCAGCCACATCCCTGGCTTCCTGTCCATGCTGCCCTGTTGTCAATAACAGCACAACCCTTAGCCTGTCCCCTTTATTTTGCTGTTGCCTATATGCATTTTTCAAATGTGAAATGCACTCCTCAGTCACCTGCCTCCCTCCCAAACAAATAAACCAGCATTAAGTGCTGAATCTCATGATGCCATCAGTACACATACCAAGAAGCCCAGGTTTCACTGATATCAGTGTCCCATCTTTAACTGGCAGCCCTTCCCACACCCACAAGTAGACCTTCTGCTTTTTAACAGAAATCAGCAGAAGTACACACACCATACGAAGTTTAGGATGTGGGTAAACACTGCATGCTGCTGTGTTGCGAATAACAGTCTGCAATTGTTTCATGTTTTTTGTTTGGGTTGGGGTGTTTTGTTTTTTTTTTATTTGTGTGGTTTACTTTTTTTTTTATTTTTCCAATTCTTTTTGTGTAATTCTCATTTGCTGCAGAAACGACTGATTGCTCAGACTAAGCTGGTGTTGAAAGTGCTTTTCCTTTACATCCCTCTCCCCATGTTCTGGGCGCTTTTTGACCAGCAGGTAAAGTAGAAATAGTTTGGCTTGGCGATGAGAGCTGTGCCATGTCACTCTGTACTCTGAGGTCACCAGACCCAAAAGGTGCCTATGGGAGGGTTGAAAATAACTCTCTGCAAATTCTTTAACTTGGTTCTAATGCAAAGGGGTAATTACTGAGCCATGTTCTGCAGCCAAGGGAAACTCTGTTTATCTGGACAAGCACAGGACTGACAATCACTGAGGCTTCTCCAAATCTTGTATCAGCCAGGGTTCAGAGGATGAAACCATAATTTAAAGCCTTCTTAGTTCTAACACTTCCTCTGCTGTCAGTCGTAAGATGAAATGTAGGGTCTTGGTGTAAATGGTCTGGAGAATCGGGGCTGAAATGACCTGGATACCAGTTTGCTTAATCACTCAGACTTGTTAGAAATGCATCACACCTTCAAGCAGAAGTATAGACCTGTAATTGTTATTCACTGGTGAACTGAGTGCTCAGGATTCATGAAACTCATGAATCACGTATGCAGTTTTGGTCTCACTGGTTCAAGAGCGACAAGAATCTACTTGAGAGAGTACAACAGAGAGCTATGAGGATGATTAAGGGACTTGACATCTCTCCTGTGAAGAGAGACTGAGAGAACTGGGGCTGTTTAGCCTTGAAAAGAGAAGGCTGAGCAGGATCTTATTAATGTATATAAATACCTGAGGAGTGGGGGTCAAGAGAAAGGTGCCAGTCTCTTCACAGTGGTGCCCAGTGATAGGACAAGGAATAATGTGTGTAAGCTAGAACATAGGAAGTTCCATCTCAAGATGAGGAGAAACTTCTTTACTGTGAAGGTGACAGAGCACTGGCACAGGCTGCCCAGAGAGGTTGTGGAGTCTCCTTTGGAGACATTCAAAACCCGCCTGGATGCGTTCCTGTGTGGCTGCCCTAGGGGATCCTGCTCTGGTAGGGCGGTTGGACTAGATGATCTCCAGAGGTCCCTTCCAACCCCTAACATGCTGTGAAAGCAGACTCTCACAGTTAGGTATTGAAGTATGAGTTTAGGAGAGTGCCTTAGAGGACCAGTGGCTGAAAGCTTTCTCCAAGGCAGACTGCAGGAAACTTGGTCATGCTGCATTACCTTGGTACTAGTGAGCTGTAACTGACAGTGTGACCTGTAACAGCTAGGCAACGCTGCTGTGAAATTTAGAACTAAGTACTCCTTACATGAGCAATAACTTGTATCTCAGACAGTGCTGCAGCGTGGGTGGTTAAAGCTGTCGCCAGAGGTGCAGTGATGCGCGTTCCTGTCTCTCCCTGGGCTCAGGCTGAAAGTCAGCCCTGCTTGACCCAGCAGCTGGTGGGTTTTCTGGGCAAAGGGTTCAAGGCAAGTTCAGTCCTGACTTGACTGCTATGGGAAGGAAGGAAGGATGGGTGGATGGACGGCCAGGCAGACAGACAGATGGGTGGGTGGATGGACAGGTAGATAGACAGATGGGTGGCTGGATGGACATGTTGGTGGTGTGGGGCGCTGGGGCTGAGGCAGGCGGCACGACGGCGCTCGGGTGGTGGCTCCGGCGTGCGGGGCAGGGATGTCCCTGCTGTCTCTCTAGCTAATCTCTGTGGCTAAATTGCTTTGCACTCCGCTTCATGGAACTAGGCAATTAAGTGAAATGGGCCACAAGGTTCATTTTGATCAAATGTTTACATTGCAAAGTAAGAATACTTCTGTGGACAGCTAGCTATGTATTTTTTTTTTATTGTTGTATTGCATGCCTTTCCCAACACTTTAACTATTAGGACAATTCAGGAGAGATCTGTAACATTGATTTACTGTGGTATTTAACTCTTTCTTCTTTTGTTAAGGGGTCAAGATGGACTCTGCAAGCCACAACAATGGATGGAGACTTTGTAGGTTACGTTTTATTGTTTTTTTTCTTTAATTAACACTTTTCTCTTCAGTTTTACTTGTTGTCATAATATTAAAAACTTTTTTTTTTCTTTACCAGGGAGCTATTCAAATTCAGCCAGACCAAATGCAGGTGCAGTAATCTTCTGCCAATTCTAAGTATTTCCAAAAAAAAATATATATCAAATTTTTAATTGTTCTTCATTTAAAAAAAGGACTTTGGAAAGTATTTAATTTTTTTCCCTTCTTGTATTCACCTTCAACAGACTGTGAATCCAATCCTGATTATTATAATGGTCCCAGTTGTAGATACTGTGGTTTATCCTTTAATCAAGAAATGCAAGATCAATTTTACGTAAGTTGATGTACCTACCTGACTTCAACAGAGGCTTATTTTAGTGGTTTCTTTAAAATGCTCTTTAAGCCCTAATGTAACAAGAACAAACATACAGCTAAGGTAAAAATAGACATGTATTTCAAATGTGTTAACATTTTAAAGAAATTAAACAAAAAAATAATAGAACACCACAAGTCGCATGTACAGGCACCAGGGAATAGAGGAAGAGAATTTAATAGTAAAGCAACACTAATTCCCAGTTAAAGGTAAAAACTCTTGTTTGCAAGTCAGATGCTGTTTGTTTTCCACTTTCCCCATGTCTACTCCCTTTGCTGCCCAAAGTACAAGAAGTAGAAATACACTGTACATACTTAACCTGTGTCATCTTTTGGTCTTAAAACTATCTGAGACAAGATGTATTTCTTCTCCAGTCCCAGTGAGGAGTCCGGCTCAATGGATACTTTTAGGTGTAACTTCAGTTTGTTTTTAATATTGGTAATGAAGTAATGAGCAGTTTTGCATGTTTGAGAGGCAGAAGGCAATACGGTTCCTAAAATAATTTTTATAGGACTAAATGCTGTTTTTCCATCTAATTATGAGCAATTGGGGGATGGAGTGTGTTCTCTTCTGGAAATAATGTCATTCATTTGTGGACAATCTGCATCTGACAAAAGATGCCATAAATAACCCTTACAGCTTACCTGAATGTCAGTAGATTCAACATATTTCCCTGACTTTCTTTTTGTTTGGCATTATTTTGATTGAAACGTATTGACACAAGTTGTCAACCTCTTTTACAAGGCATAACTTCTTGCCTTTCGGCTGTTTTAAAATTGAGAGGTACCCAGCTTAGCAGAACATTTTCTGCAAAAATGTCAGCCCTTTGGTTGGTGATAACATACTAGTTGTGGCCATTTGAGTTTCCCCACTATGGACAGAAAAGAGTAACAGCTGAAGCTTTGAATTAATGTTTGTGTTGAAACCCACGTGTGTGGTTTTGTTGTTATTCTAGGCCCCTGAGGAAGATGACTGTTGGTATGTTCCTTGCAGCTTTGGCTTTTGTTGCTGCCGCCCTTGTGCAAGTGCAGATAGATGTAAGTTCAGCCACATGCAGGTATTTATAATTAATATTTAGCTGTTAATACAGAGCAGAGTGTGTTTAATGGGAGAATGAGTCAAGATTCCTAAACTCAGAACGGAGAATATGAGCACAGAAGTAGAGGGGGAGAAACAGTGAAGTATATTGCAATGATGTGATTAGCATAATAAAATTAACTAGCTGTGCACACAGTCCTGCAAAACATCTCACCTGCCATTGACATAAATCACATATTAAAGGCAACCTCAAGTCTTTAAATTGAGGCTTAAAAGCTGAAAACCAGAGATTTATTTTATTTTTTCCTGCTGGGGAGCTGCTTTTTATCTCTTCTGATACTTCGCCTGGAGGTGAAGTGTAACAGTCTGGGAAGCATTGTCACAGTATGGGCAAAGATGATACCTGTTTAAGGCATGATCGATCACACCTAATTTGCTTTGACCTAAAGGGAAGGTGTCATGCCTGAGCCGGGTGAAGTTTTCCCCTGTATCTGGAGTGCTGGCAACACCTCAGGGAAGTGATCCATTGTGTTATGAAATCTGAATAGCTATCCAGAGGTGCTGGTCTCTCTTCATGCACTATCAAGGCAAGATGCTCAACAGCTTTCACTAAAAATGAGGAATTGTCTCCTTAATGCCTGGGTCCAGCTATGAAACCAGCTTTATATTCAATTCTCCCTCTTGAAGTTGGAAGTCGAGGGTTTGGCCTTTGGCTGGTACAGACATGTCCAGGCTGTCCTCCTGGGGAGGCAGGAGTAGTTCAGGAGGCCAGAATACGTGTGCTAGCATTGGGCAGGGGTTTCCTAAAAGCTGGAAACTTCGTAGACTGTTGCACATAAACCTCCTGCAGAAAGGTGAAGTTAGGCCTGGCTTTGTTGTGTCATGTGCCTAAAGAGATTGAAGCAGACTGTAGTATGGGAAGGGAGGAAACAGACACCACTCCTGAAGCTCTTAATAGCTTCTGCTCTTGCAGAGCATCTACTGTTAGATCTGGTGGGAAGCGAAATCCCCAGAATCTCAGTTTCTCTGAACTTTCACGTGGTTTAGTGGTGGGCCTGGCAGTGTTAAGTTAATGGTTGGACTTCTAGAATCATTAAGGTTGGAAGAGACCTCTAAGATTATCTAGTCCAAGGTCTTCTCCAGCCTAAGTGATTCTATGATTCTCTTGGCTATCACACCGAGCAGGGCTCATAATGCTTCTGTCCAGTTCAGTAGCACTGGTGAGAATGAGTTAGAATGTGGTAGGAAGAAACTCGGGAACCCAGGCAGCCATAGGATGTGGGAAACAGGCCTTTTCTTGAACTGCAGAGCAGTCTTGGTAGTGGCAGCATGCTGCAGGACTTGGTCAAAGAGGAACCACATCTGGCCATGGAGGCATTGTTGTGGATGAAAGGCTTCTCCCCTGAGGCAACTTGTGAGACAAGTAACAAACCCCATTATTAAAGTTGTGTCCCTCTGACAATCACAGATCATGAAGCAAATGCTTTTTCAAGAGATATTTCACCATCATCATCAGGGCTAGGCTTCGTGAACGAAAATATGGGAAGGACTCTACCCACACTTGCTACAAGCGCACTGATGGCTAAAAGGCCATGAGATAATTAAGGTCACAGTAATTACAGTATTCTTTCCATGTGACTTAGGATAGGGCAATGATCTTTTTTGTTTGTTTTTTTTTTCTTTCTGTCCCACAGAAAACTCTTCCAGTTTTCCCTGCAGCTGAGCAATCCCAAGTCAAAATAACAAATCTAGGTACTGATAATGCAACAATTAATTTTCTACCTCAACTTCAGACTGAGAATGTAATGCCTATGACATCAGTAAGTAAGGGGAGATGGGGAAAAGCAAGTTATTAAAAAAAAATCTGAGTAAGACAAACTGTTCTTAAGTTATGGTTCAAATTTTTCATTCTTTTCTAGGAGTTTTTTTCTTTTTCTCTGTTAGATTGTTGGACTCAATGATCTTCCATGTCTTTTTCAACTGAAACAATTCTATGGGTTTTGTTTGTTTTTTGTATTGTGGAATGAATTGTTACTGATAACAATGAATTAACAACTGACAACTATTTCAATATTCTATGTAGTACTAGCTTGTTTTGGTGAGTGGGTTTTTCTTCAAGAAAGTTTAAGAAACCTCATAACTGCTTTGAACTAACTGAAAATTTCACTCTTGATAAAAAGCTGCCATTTCTTAACAGTAAGAACACCTCTTCATTCAGCATTTGTCTCTAGTAAGTCACAGCTCTTACTGTGAGTGATCACTTAACAGGGAGCTTTTTCTGTGTACATGTAATGTATTAAATATATTAAGCTTCAGATGTTGCTGTCAAGGAACACTTTTAGGTTCTATTACAGCACAACCTTGATAGCCCTACTGACAGCAAAATGTGGAGCTGATGGGCATTTTAATAATGGATGTTAGGAAGTGTGTTCTGGTAGCCTGCAGTCCTGTTTTTTTGTATAAGAGGAGAAGCTGTATTCCATCCTCCTCTGAATTTGCCTCACATGGAAACTGAGCTGTGAGGAGAAGATAGATACCAAAATTATATGCTGATGTGAAATTGATATAACCATGGTGCACGTGTTGCCTGATCTAGTCGAGAGGTGGCGTCCCTGGCGGCAGGGAGGCTGGATTAAAATGATCTCTAAGGTCCCTTCCAGCCTAGGCCACTCTGTGATTCACACATGGAAATGGAGGGTGTGAAATGCTCCACTCCCTACTATAGACATTTTGTAATCCAGGTGGGTTTGGATTATAAAATGCTTTTTATAATCCTATAAAACAAAAGGGCTATTTGAGTACTACACTAACATGTCTAGTAATGTTTAAAGTATTTAGTACTAATGAAATGTATTTAAAATATGTCCTGGTAAGAATCATTCCTGTTATGCTGAAACCATAAAGATGCAGCCTGTGTTTCCATCTGTGTTGCTATTTGGAAAATGTTGCATATTAACTTATGCTGGTGCTGCCTTCGTAGTTAAACAGAATTTTACTTGGTGGTAAGCCTGAATTATCTGGAGCAAGAAATAACACAAAATGTAACAGTTATTCTGTAATGCTTGTGGGAAGATCATGTTATGCTGAAGCTTGTTTAATGAAAGAAATTATTAAAAAATAATGATCAAATGAAGGCAGTGCTTGATGTAGAAAACGTAACAAAATTGAAAGTTAGGAGAAGTTCACACGTGAACTTCTGATCCCCCGAGTCCATAACACTCCCTTCAAGGTGTAGATAAATATGCAGTTGCATGGAAATTCATAGCAATTTATTTGTCTTTGTAGACAGACTACATAACACTTGAGGCTTCTCAGTTGCAATCATTAAACATAACTTATGGAAATATGAATAAGGTTGAAGCAATCGAGTTGTTAAAAGAAAGCCGTCACACTCTTGCAATTAAAAGTGATGCAACAGGCATTGTTACTAGAGTGGTAAGTCTGCTTAATTCCCAAGCTATGCAATAATGTCTTAGCAGCTATCTACATGAAGTGTGTAAAGCTGAAGCTGTGGGTAGCTTTTCCCTCCCCTCCCCCGCCCCCGTTCTGTCTCTCCCCATCTTTGTGGTACCTGTGAGGCTGGCAAGCTGTAGAGAGAAGGGCTGTTATGTTGTCTGGGGTGAGGGGAAAAAAAAAGGCATTTAACTTGACAATCACCCTCTCACCAAGACTTAAGTGTGTGGTCATACAGTATTTTTTAGTAGATGTGGATCCTAGTAGGATCCTAAAAGGGAAGATGTGGAGTCATTCTCTAAAGCATCTGTTAATTGTCATTGCTATGCAATAGTGCACCTTTAAGCTGTTCACTGATGCCAACAAAATGTCTTGATAATGATGTCTTCCATCAGCTGTTTGACAATGTCACATCAAAACCAGAAGAAGGAAGAAATCTCATCAGGTAGAGTCTGGTTTGCTCCTAAACTTTGGCAGTAATGTGACTGTGTCTTCGATCTGCATCTTGGGTAGACTCTTCTTGCTTAAGTTTTCTATCCTGTAGGATTTCTCCACTTGCTGGATACTTCACTTGATGCTTAGAGGGTGTAGGAACTTGGGGCATAATTCATCGAAGCTATCTTGCATATCTACTTCGGGTATAATTTGGCTAAAACTGGAAGCGTATATTTTGCTGTATTGTCTAGACTTCTTTTGTAGACAACCAGCACGGATTGCACGTCTATACCACTTTTTTAATCTTGGGTAAGAAGTATCCTACTACTTTTCTGCTTTTCTTCTCTTTGCAGATGCATTTGTTGCCAGTTGTAGTAGAGGCCTGCTTTTAACATTCTTCTAAGCAGGCAGTGGGATGGTGTGGGTCTGGTTTGCTTTTTGCATTAGCCACACTTTAAGAGATTTGGAGTTCTTTTAAAAATGTTATCTGACAAAAAAAAAGGGGAAGACTTGATGCTTGTTGTGCTCCTAGTGTATCATTAAAAGTAACACCTGCATTCTCATGCATATGTTGTTCAGTATTTCATCATTCTTGCATTTTAAAGGTTCTTAAACAATCTACCTTCTGCTATCAACATCAGTATGGACGGCAATTATCTTGGAGTAGTGATGCCTCTTTTTGCCACTAACTACAGCCTCCTGGAAGGAGGAAGGTAAGCATTTTCCTTTACCCTAATCTAATCACTTAAATACATACTTGTCCTTGGGAAATAGGACATAGAACTCTAATATAAAACAAACAATTTTCTATACCTATGGTCTGAACTGTGTTTTTTGTTTTTCAGAACATTTTTTGTTACGGCTACTGTAAATTCACTCCCTTGTACATTTATTTCAAAGAGATTTGGATTTGGCAGTGCCTATACCATTATAATTAACGAGGTGAGTTGCCAGTGCTGTTGGATGGGCAGTACAGAATTACTTTTCGTGTCAATATTTTTTTTTAAGTAAAAAACGCCTGTAAAACTATCCCTCTTGCCATTAGTTGTACATATGATAGAATTCTGCTACATTAAACACAACACAAACTCACCATTACCCATCATTATTTTTATGGTTATGATCACAACATAATGCAAGCGTTTGTGTCCATCACTAATCATCGTAAGTCTTTAACTCTATTAGACACTAAGGATTTGCATGAGGTCTGCTATAAAATAACTGTTACTTTATAACTAGATATGCAGTGCTTCATATATTTCTTACCTACGCAGAACTTTGTGTATATATGATTATAGAGATTATACAGAACTGCTTGGAGTGTCTTTGGTGTATAAACTCTATCACTGATCCCAATGTGCTATTTTCATTTCCAGTGTTCTGCATCCAATCTTGATGTAGCATATTCTGAAGATGTTGCACCCAATACAGTCCATATGGCTTGGCAGATCCCTCAGTATTTTATTCTTACATGTGCAGAAGTAGTCTTCTCTGTCACTGGGCTGGAGTTTTCATATTCACAGGTAGGTTTTGCTTTTCAGAACTCTTACTGTATTAAGAATCCTGTCACAAATGAGTTATCTTCCATGAGCTATTGTTTTTTAAGCGATGGTTCCATATTGCTGCTTTGTTTGAACACTTGGGCCCTTCAGAGCTCCCTAGCAGGGCTAGAGGCTGGTGCAAGTTGGCCTTGTTTCACCAGCATTCAGTGCTTTCCATGAAGCTATGCTGAATTATGTAACTTGACGACTTGACCACCAGTCCTCAAGTCTCCTCACATGTGCCTTTCTGTTGAAAAAAAAGTGGAACTGTACTGCTGTAAAATTGAACTGGAGAGCCCTCCAGTATAAAATGAACAAATACTAACACCTTATTTCCGCATCCATTTCCTCCGCACAGTCTGAAGCAGCAGTTTAATTATACACTCTTAATTCCTTTGTCTTCCAACTCCGATTTATTAGCTGTGTGTTTTTTCTTCCTTTAATTCTGAGTCTATAGACTTCAGGATCAGGAATGTTGCAAGTTGTGGCTTGCTAGACTAGGATGCATTCAGTTTCTTAATTTAATAGGTACCATGTGTGACTGAGATGTTAAATGTGCCTGCTAACTACTCTGTTTGTACCAAGTAAAAGGTATTTATAGTTAGTACTAGTAATCTCTTGCTCAGCTTTCATCAGGCCTGTTTAGTTCTCTAGCCATTTTTAATTAAAAGAAAAAACAAAAACAAAACACCAAAACAACCAAACTCAAACCCCTAGATCCTATCAAAAAGAAATCTTCCTCAAAGCAGTTTGTTACAATGTAAAGGATGAGCAAATATCAGAAAAAATAAGTGATAGACACTTAAATTTTAGTAAAATACCACTATCTTCTCTAGGCTCCATCTAACATGAAGGCAGTGCTGCAGGCAGGATGGCTGCTGACAGTGGCTGTCGGTAACATAATTGTCCTTATTGTGGCTGGAGCATCCAAACTCAGTGAGCAGGTAAGCACACAGGCACTCGGCGTGCTGTTACAGCACACTACGAGAAAGCAACTCTAATTCAGGAGGCTGATAGTCTTCAACCACAGCTTTGGAACATCAGCATTATGGTGTGCTTGCATTTATAACTGGAATACAGGAGGTTAGTATCAGCTACACAAGTGTACCAGTCAGCTGTAGAAGTACTGTTTGACTGAATAATCTCAGAGTATATAAGAAATGGAGTTATGAATCTTTATAACTTATTTGGGTTAAAACTAGTGTTGAAGGCTGTGACAACGAGGTGGTAGCTTGTCTCTTGGAGCCTCTTCTAAAGTTTCTGTTGGACTTTTTCCTCAGCACTTCACTAAGAGGTGTATGTATGTGTACACACACAAAACTTTAAACATTTTTTTGCAAATGCTTTCTCAACAAAGCATTGTCCCTCTTCTATCTCTTTGCCATTCTTAACTCTTGGTCTGTCAGGCTCCTTTGATTCCAAGCAGCAGTTTGTAGCATTTCTACACTAAATAGCTTCTCCTGGCATGGAAAGGCTGTGAACTTCTGGGCTGAAATTCTAAATTAATAGGATTAAAGCTTACCAAAATACTGTTCACTGCTAATGAACCTTAACCTGTATACCTCAGCCTTGCCACATCACTTCTGGCTCCATTGGTTTCAAATCTCATTCCTGGGGACTTAAAAACTGTGGTTTTTCTGGTGAAGAGCACTGGGTCAAGTCTTCCTCAGACTATTAGTGGCACTCCCTAATGAATCAAAAACTATTTGAGAGAGGGAAGAATCTGTCTTTTGAAACAGGTCTGGCAGTCCTGGTTTCAGTTAAATTAACCAGAAAGAGCATGAAACAGCTGTTGAGGCTCCTCAGGTGGAGATTGTATTTTGAAAACAGAATTCCTCATCTTGCTCTCTGCCCAAATTTGTGGTCGGTAAAAACTTTTTACTGCTGACTGAAGTGGAAGCCAGGCCACTGCCAGCCTGGTTTAAAATGAGATTACTTGACCAAAAGGAGAGGCTGAGTTTCCTTGTCAGTCTTTCAGTCCATTCCCATGCCTCCAGGAAAAGAAGGTATTGTAGAACTTCTCAGCATGCACAGAATTTTTCTCTTCAGTGAAGACAGAACTGCTGAAAGGGCTTCACCTGAGTTGCTTTAATATGTAATTTATACATTTAATACTTAGTCCTTTACTTGGTCATGTGATATTTGTTATGTATGCTCAAATCTACATTCTGAATTAACTTCATTTCTTGTGATCAGTAAAATGGTGTAATTCTGAGGAATGAACATTGATGGATAAATCATACTTTTTCTTATTTTTTTTTCAGTGGGCAGAGTATGTGCTGTTCGCTGCCTTGCTGGTGGCAGTCTGCATCATTTTTGCTATCATGGCTTATTTTTATACCTATGTTGATCCAAATGAGATTGAAGCCCAGTTTGATGAGGAGGAAAAGCAAGAAGCCAAAAAGGATCAAAATATCTATGAAAACCAAAGTGAAGCTGTCTCTAAGATGTAAAAGATGTATTAGAGGAGTTTTTGTAGATTATGTTATCCCATTAACTATCCCTGCAGTACGAGGAATTTGGTATCAGCAACACCTCTAGATAATCTGTCTTTAGGGGAGAGGTTAAGAAAAACTGTTTTAGCTTTAAATGCAGCCTCTCTTGTGAAGCAAGAGGAAAAAAATTAGTCTCTCTTCTACCGCACATGGTATCCTGAAGAAACTCCAGCAGAATTTGCACTCTTGATGTACCTCAGGCATTAAAATACTGAAATTGCACTCAGCACTACCAAACCATGTGAAAAGATGTATTTTTATACTGCATTTCAATTTTATATCATGAAAGAAATATTGCCAAGAAATAGTAATTTAAGCCAATCTGTCTGCATGATCCCTCTAGTGTCACTGTTACTTGAAAGCAGCAGCTCACGTGTGCCTTAAATTCTTTTGTACTTCATTATGGATAATGGGAGCAAAGCTCTGGCGCATTGTTCAGATTAAAATGCTGTCTGAGCTCCACATGGCTGTAACTTGGACCCACACTGTAAAATAATGCTGTATGTGCCTTTTGACTACCCATTTAACTCCTATTTTTAATTAAATATTTTAATAAGGTGTCTACTAGCGTAAACAGACAATGGCAAATGACATTTGGAATAAGCAACAGCAATAAAAGTTGTGTTGTAACAAAATTATGGAAGTGGTGTAAGAGTATGACTTACAGCTGCATGTTAACAAAACTTGATACTACCTCTCTGCTGCCTCTTCAT